AAAAATAAGGCGAGATAAGGTATGCCTTAATATTACTTACACAATAATATACGTTCAGTAAACGTAATGAAATAATTTTTATTGGGCTTACTTACAGTTTAAAAACATTATATTAAATTACCTGGTAACAATCCGGCTGATGATGACAATAAAATTCAATTAATTAAGTTTTGGAAGGTTTACAATACCTTTTGGCGCGATTTTCTATTCGCAAAATCATCAAGTAAATCGTCGTATGTAATCTTGTTCATTAGTTCTGACTCTATATGCACAAAAGAGCTAAAGCGTTTAGCTTTTCTTGGCTTAAGGTAGATCTTAAATTGTTGGGATCTTAGTTGTTTATAAATAATAAAACTGCAGATCGGGTGAAAATGCGTGTGCTCCGTGTAATAATTCTCTTGTACAGTAATGATATTAGTAACATTGACAGATAAAATTAGACAATTAATATTTTTGGAATAGCTTCTGGGCTTTTTTCCCATACAGATAAAAACTTAATGTTGTGTTGCCAACATAAATAATTTTTCACCCGTTTTAAGCAAGAAAAGCTTCTGTCACACGAACAATTTGTCGCTGGTGTACATAGAGCCATACGAAGAGCTATATCCAAGATTGGATAAACGTTTTGCAAATTTACGCCTCCTCATTTGACTAAAACCTCTGTACTCCGAGCGCAATTTTTAGATGAGGGAACAAAATGAAGTCGCTTGGGGTTAGATCTGATGAGTAAGGCGGATGGTCAAGCAGTTCAAACCGTAATTCGTGGATTTTCGCCATGGCAACCGCTGAGGTGCGAGAGGGCGCGTTATCATGGTGAAACAGGATTTTCCTTTTTTGCAAATGTGGCCATTTTTCCGCAATTACTGCCCTTAGTTTGTCAAGTAATGATGCGTACTGCGTAGTATGCTCATGTAATGGTTTTTCTTTTATGAAGATAATAGATTAAGATAACTCCATGACTATCTCAAAAAACAGTCGCGATCACTTCTTTCCCAGCCGAAAAAATAGCTTTTGCTTTTTTTGGAACTAGTTCCCCCTTTGCAGTCCACTGTTTTGACTATTATTTCGAGCGTATAACGGTGTATCCAAGTTTCATCTACAGTAATTATTTGGCGTCAAAACTCGGATTTATTACGCCTAAAACTGCGCCAACAGAGCGTTGGAAATGTTCATTCGAACACGTTTTTGGTCTAACGTGAGCAAGCTCGGCACCCAACGCGCTGAAAGCTTTTTCATGCGTAAATCTTGATTTAATAGCAAAGACTCGACTTCAGACACAAGTTTGTTCCGGTTATCGGTGATGTTTTCCCGAGAAATACAGGTACAGCCGGTGTATAAAGCATCACTAGTGCACGTTACTGTTTATAACATATTATTGATAAACAGAATAAACAGCGTAGGTGATAGCACGTAGCCTTGTGGAACACCAGCATAAATAGACTTGTAAATGGAGCATGCACCTTCTACTACGACTTTGTTGATACAATCTGCAAGAAAACGACTGATCCAGTTGCACAAATTCTCGGGAAGCCCATAGAAAGAAGCGTTTTGTACCAAACCCGATCGAAGGCCTTCGCTATGTCCAAACTAATTGCCAGTATCTTCCTCTCTGCCTCTGCTGATTTATGAGTCAGGTAACCCAGAAGATCGCCAGCTGAGCAATACCGACGGAAATCGTATTTGCGGTCACTTTTCAGTTGGTGATCCTCAACCTCATGAGCTGGCAGTTCACAATGGTTTTCATTATTTTGGAGAACAAGTTGGATAGGTCTGAGCGGTCGATTTTCGGTTATTTTTTAGGGATCTGGTACACTAAAGCTGTCTTCTTTGAGTTCGGGACAACGCCTAGGGAGAAAGAGTTTTAGAAAACACGCGTTACGACCGGTGCCAACTAGGAAGCACACGTCTTCAGCACAATGGGAGGAACTCCATCAGGCCGACTAGACTTGACGTCTAGGGAGAGTAGTGCTATTCGCACCGAACGCTGTGTAAACCGTATCGTACCGACCTGAAGGTGAAATTATACTTCTTTTTAAAAGCGCTAGTGAAGTACTCCTATTATAGCACGATGCAATTTTACAGGAGCGACCAAACAAGGCACCACAGATGATAGAATAAAGAGTCCTATTCCCTGAAGTACCACATCAGCGACAGAAGCCCGTTGGGATCATCCGGCGAGAAGCATACCCGCTCCTGTCCTCAAGGGGAGGATGCAAAAAGACCGCATCCTGTCCCAATCGGACACCTATGTGCCAAATACGACGGCGATCTGCGGAACGCAACCGCGATGGGAGTGTTAGTGGCACCATAGTCCGGATCAGACAATGGTCTAATGAGCCAAGAGGGGCGTCGACGGAGACTTGATATCCGCCCGGATGAGAGGTCAGCAGAAGATCCAACAGGGAAGGTGCACGATCCTCCACATCTAGAATCCTCGTAGGTGAAGTAACTATTTGTGTCGGACCGTATGCGAAGGCAAAGTCACAAACAGATTTTCCCGCATGATCGGTTAAAGGAGAACCAAGCCATTCAGTGTGGTGGCCGTTAAAATCACCAAGGATCACAATCTCTACAGACGGAACCTGTTGTAGCACGTAGTCTGCAGTGATTTGGACGTGGGCGATGAGTTGGTCTATGTCAGTATTACCTATGGAGGCACCCGTAGGCGCGAGAATAGTCGTCGCTGAACTTCAAGACTGCCGAGGCGTCGAGAACAGATGTCCTCTCTGACGTATACGCAAACTCCAGCCCGAGGCACAAAGGTGTTATAATTTGTACCCCGGATAGGAGAGAAGTATCGACCGGAGAAAACACCTGCGTCTGGGTTAAAAAGAGCAAGGTCGACTTCGCCATCTCTGGTGGTACCTAGAGGACTCCGTCAAGGTTCGAATGAAATCCCCTGATGTTGCTTCTGCAACTTCTGGATTTCATTCGTGAATTTCTATTCACGGATAGCGTGATAGGGGTCACCTGTATCTAATTGCTCTACTTGCCACGAGCAGTATTAGTCTTGAGCGGAATTTCCTGATGATGCCTCGTGTAGAGGCGAAACACGTGTCGTATTGTCGTCAGTGGTGTGTCTTTCCTAGTGTAGTGGTGTTGGGAGTGGTGGTGCTGGGATTAGTGGTGACGGTGATAGTGCACGCAATTGAGAGAGGGCGGGAGGTGCTCTTCAAACTAGGTAAGACACATTATTTTATTTTATCTAACGGATCTACGCAAAGTAATTTTTTGTCAAATTTATTATAGTATTTAGGCTACTTTTAATAAGAAAGATTTATTTTATTCTTTTTCACCAGTGTGTTCTCTGCTTGTGCTATGTAAAATGTTTTCTTTTTATCTATTAAGGCCAACATATTATGCCCCAAAACAATGGAATCCTAGCCGGAGTTATTATTTCGAAAATACATTGTCCGCCTTAGGGTTTTGTATGATTGTCCCCTCATACTGTATTCAAACTACCTTTGATATTTATTCTATAATATCTGGTTTAAATCAGACCTCAAACCCAGCAGCTAGTAAAAAGGAACTATAATTTTATGTAAAAGTACAATAAACAGCCTACATACACCCCATTGTATTTTGTGACGTGTTTTACTTTTTTTTATAATAATATGTGAAAAACAGACAGTGCTTTTTAAAGTGTGAGGAAGTATTATATAGGTAAGCATATGCTTAGCAGTTCATAAAATAGCTATCAACATATTTCGAAGGCTTTCACCGTAGCTAAATTTGGCCCGAAGACCAACATTATGAATGAATTATGTCCACTTATAAAGATCATTATGGACTCAGACAACATTATATAATATATTACATTGTTTGCTATCACTAGATACTAGATAGAGTGATGAGATGCATATGACAAATTGTAGTCTGTGTTATTGTAACTAGAAGCTTCGTCCAAGGGAAGAGTTCTCTCACAGCCGCCATTTAGGTCAATGCCAGTATCCAATGATTTTTGTCTTGAGCTTCTCATATCTGTAAGACTCAAGTTCATTTGTCTCATATCTGTAAGACTGGTCGCGCCGTCATCAGTCTCGGTATTTGACGTCTGGCATACACGTAAAAGTGTAGTGTAAGTAAGGAAAGTAGCGGTGTAAGAATATTTACTACCCCATATCGCCTCTCGGGTGTCTGAAAATAAAACAGGTGATGGGCAGTAGCGTCTTCCTAATAACAATTAAAAACTGCGGTTCCCAACGAGGCGGGCCAAGTGTAGCAGCTATGCCAAATATCTCTACTATGGGACAATCTATGGGAAGGCTTAGGTTCAGCAGTAATAGGGTGTAATGTTGATAATGAAGGCTCGACGTGATTATTCTGCAATCTTTCGAAGGCCACAATATCTTCCCGATCGAATTTGGCGATGGACTCTCTTACGCTACCATCGCACGCCAACTCTTAGTTACATGAGGTTTAGTTTATATGAGGTTAGTTTAGTAACTACTAGTTAGGACCCGCCGCAGAAGAACACAAAAACTCTCCGATCACACTCTTAATCTCATGGCTGTTATACGGGAGATGAAGCTACATTCTTCAACAGATTTGACAGCATACAGACAACTGAATAGACAGATCTCCAAATGCATGCGGCGGGACTTACGCAACTTCAATACAGCTTGTATTAAAGAAGCGATCGAGTGGAACCAGGGCTCCAAAGTCTTTGCCAGAGATCTGTCCGCCAGAAAGAGCCAACTGTCAAAGCTGAGGACCGAGTGTGGCAGCATCGTTTCCGTGGCACCTGGGATTTTGAGTGAGATTGAGAGGTTCTATGGGCAGCTGTACACGTCATCGTTGGAGCCACACGCAAGTATGAGTAACGATCCAAAAGCGAGTCTTGTCCGATACTATTCCGAAGATATACAAGGCATTATTCAGCATTAAAAGATATATGTACAAAGATAAAAACACTTATTTACTATGAATTCACTAACTTGACAGCGGACTACGCTGAGTCACACAAATTACGCCCTAGATTATTATTAAATATCCTATTATTATTCAAAAGCATTTATCACGTTCAGATATCTTTCTTCAAAAAATTTGTGCCTTTTTCTCAATCTCTTATCTTCTTTTGGCGAAAAGAAAGTACTGATAGACTTCGTGCCTGCGGCTTTCTTATTTGGGCTCACTTCTTCAACGTCTTCGAAAGTACACGTAGCCGCCTTTTCTTGAAGCATAAGTTCAGCCGTCGACCAACTGAATCTAACAAGTAGTGGATATCCAAATACATTATCTACTTGGTCACGAATAAACTTCTTTGTCAGAGGATCTGTGGACAATTTCAAGATACTTTAAATCTTTGTTCTTGTATCAATGGGTGGTGACACTCACCCCATAAGAATGCCAAAAAAGGGCGATATCTGTTAAAAAAAACTTTAATTTTAATCAAATAAGTGTAGCTAACATGTTACTGGAGTAATTATTATGCAATACATTAATAATCGAATAGCGATATATTATCTCATGGATGTATATAGATGTGGATAGATGACAGAAGAAAATTAAACAGATGCGCAGCAGCATTTTCCCGACAACAGCTCAAAACAATAAAAAACAGTGCTTGTCACCCTGGCTGCCATAGGTGGCCACTAAGGCAAATATCCAACCTATGCGGCAATTTATGGGACAGTCCTATGTTTTGCAGTGGACTAGTTGCGAGCGACGGATAAGTTTTTTTTTAATTATTAGAATTTCCCACAGTGGTATAGTAAGTTTTTAAAATCTTTTTAACCATCTCCAAAAAAGAAAAACTAAATGGAATAAAAAATTCACATTATAATAAGTTTCAAGTAAATTTGTCGTTACCATACGCTCGCTACCCATTGTAAATTAATTGTATTTTGGCTACAACCTTCGCGCAAGTGCAAGCAATAAGTTGCCAAAGTTGTAGCACAATCTGACGAACATACCATTCAGCGCATAAAATACGAACAAATAAATTTTAATTTTTATATATTAGATTAATAATTTTCTAAAAGTTTTATAAAATATAATGCAACTGGTACGTAATGGATATGAAAGCGCTCAAATAAAGAATAACATATCATGTAGAATATATTATATGAAACGAATGTTGTCATAACAAGATGCATGCGTATGTTTTATAATCTTGACAACTTAAATTTAAAATGTAAAAAAGAGCTACAATGTCACTGACAGACACAGATACACACGTTAAACATATAACACCCCTCTGTTTGCGTCGAGAGTTAAAAATAACATAATCTCCTGTCTCTTTACACCAAATGCAAAAGAACACGTACATTTTATAGTCGATGGGTATATTCCTACTAATATAGCAAAAAAGAGAACACTTGCAGAGTTTCTAATACTGCAATGAATGAATAATGACAAATGAAACTAAATTCTTAAATCGAAAAGTATGTCTAATTAAGCTATATCTTACTGAATATTTACCTCCAGGGTATCCGCTACCGAATCCAGTATGGTCCATATCCAAACCCTCCTTGAAGCTCCACACTTTAAGAGCATGGTCCCTGGTCACTTTTGCCACAATACTAGCCGCCGAAACTATGGGATATATTGAATCAGCCTTTTTTGCAACCTAAAAAAATATAATGAGAAAACGTGGTTATGCAGTTTTTAATTCATGTAGTCCACATATTTCAAACTCATTAAAATTATTACAATCAGCAGCTTTCTCTCCAAAGTCACATGTTTGATGAAAATGATAATTGCCTCCCATATCGTCCTGTGGGTGTCGTAACAGGCGATAGTAGTAAACAAACCAGGAGATGGAAAGCAGCGTCTTTCTAATAACAATTTGAAAAAACTGCAGTTGCCAAACCGCCTACAGAGTGTGGCAACTATGGCAATTATCCCCCTAGGAGCCGTGACTTTTGTCGGGTTGTAAAGGCAACCATAATAGTAATTTACAGGGAATATTAAAAGCTAGTGTTTGCCTTGCAAGGAGCAGTTAACTTTCCCAACTCTCTAGGTTGATAGATGTGTGAACAATAAACATTATAACACTGAATTATTATGTACTACGTACTAGAAGATACACACGCATTAGAAGAGCCCACGGGCACAAAATTACTTCATCTGTTCTATAGAATGGTATTCTGTGTCTCCTTCCATGCACACCGCACTGCCACAACAGACATTGTTCGTGGCATCATCTATTATGTAATACATATTACTTCAATGATATAATTATAACAACAATACAGAGAGTTAAAGAAACAAAGAACACATAAAATATTAACATCAATAAATCAAAATTTTCATCATCATCAACATCTCATATACGTCCACTGGTGGACATGGGTCTCACTAGTTGTGAGAATTTGCTTTAATTGCCACGTTTGGTAGGCAGATTAGCGAGTGGAATACCAGACGTCTTGCACCTGTGATGCTTCTCCATGTCACCAGTCTGAATATTTTACGTCTGACGTATTTTAGAGAGTTATAACGCTATCTATTGGAAGCCTTAGCCTTATCTTTCTGGCATTTTCCATAGACGTCTCTTACGATACCCACGAGAAGAAATAAGGTTTTGGGATTCTCCTACGCCATCACCACACGGAACAATCAATATTATACATTCCACATATCATGTCGACTTTGGCTAAAATTCATATTCAGAACATATGGTAACAATTATTGGTCAATGTTTGTGGATAGATCAAGACTGTTAGTTTTTGATTGAACATGTTGTGCTTCCATGACACTGCATCCAAGCATACCCTCAATATTATCTCAATGTGTCACATCAGTGACAGTTACGTTAGAATACTTTGCTGGATGGTATCCCTCTCTATTTCTGGCTCCAGGTACCTTATAGTGTAGCACGACAGCCCACACTGTATCTAGGTTTGTGGCCATCTGTGGCATCTGTGGCCTTCTTTGTTTGGAATTGGTAGTGTGTGTTTACGTCCTGCAGTAGCCATTTACCGTTAAGCGGACGTAAAGTAGTTTGTCACTCTAATATACGTACTTAAATGATGTGTGCTTTCGAAAACATCAGTAATAGATATTAAAAAGAAACAAGTCTGACTCTCCAAATTATAATGAGTAGTTATACGACATAATGAAGTTTAGCGGCGGCATAAGAGAATCCATTACCACAGAGTTCTTATAGCTTACGATAGTTGATGATATAACCATATCGATTACGCGAGACGTCAAATATCGAGGCTGGCAACAGGGTGCAATGTCAAAGTTGCGAGACGTTTGGTACTGGGATCGCCAACAATACGCCCGCCAAAAATCTTACATAAACTACCCAATACAAAAATCAAGATTTAAAATCATACCCATAAAATTATGGTATAAATCAGAAATCTCGTCACTTCCGACATCATCATTACAGTACATCACTGGTCGACCATTATATATAGGCTTTCTCACAGAAAACCTATTTCGAAAATTAACAGAACAACAATATCTAGAACAGTGACAAGGAATAGTATCCAAAGCACGTCATATTTTGGTCAAGCCGAAGCCGTACGTATGTGCTCAGTCAGTGCTGAAAGAAATTATCACGAGGAAACCTACCTATCTTAGGAACAAAAATAATATTTAGAAGGCGTGTGAAGTCTGCTAACACGCAATCGCACTGACTAAATTACTTCATAATCCACTCAGTAATACAGGGACTTGTGGCCTACAGGCTGTACATTTATAGGCTATAAGTTCTGTGTCAACAAAAGTAAAAAAAAAATACTACGTTTTTTTTTTATCACATTTATGTATTGTCATGCGAATTTGAACTATATTCAAATTTTTTAATTTCCAGCTCATCGGGAAGTTAGTCTAAAATTAATAAATAAATTCCAACTGGAACAACAGACAAACAAGAAAGTGACTTCATAAAAAGTTTATATGCTGACACAGATACTAATACTAATCCCAGCCTACCCATACTCGATGCTACGAGTTAATACTATACCATCGCCAGTATGGTAGGATGTCATGGCAGAAATACTGTCACTGCCTCATATATCTCAACACAACCAAATATGAAAACTGAAGAAGGTTGTGTGTTTTTGCACAAATTGCTGCCTCTGTCTGAAATTTAAATCTAGAATATGTTGGTTGTGCGAGCCATTATTTCATAAACTAACATACCATAAGCATATTTTATTAAACTTACCGTTATTTTAATATTAGGGAATATTTCTAACAATTTGGCCTGGTATTTCTCAGGAGGGCCAACTGTATCCACATAAATTTCTGCTAAATTTACTCCTTCTTCAATTACTTTTTTAATTAAACTTATTGCAGAGTTCATAGACACCTAAAGCATTTTTTTCTTCAATAAATTTTCATTATTGGATGGGATAATACACTATTAAATATTATTAAACATTTTATATTACAACATTTATAACTTCTACTTCATCATCGTCCCCTGAAAGTCCACTGCTGGACATGAATCTCTTACGTTTTAGAAAGAATTTGCCTTAATGCTCACACTTGACAGGCAAATTGCAAATTACAATATCAGACATCTAGCAAACTCGCTACTTTGACGCTGCTGCCCATCAGCAGTCTGCAGTCTACGGTAACTTGGGTATTTTGGGTCTGACATAAACGAGATGGTTATATACTCCTTAATATTTTTTAACAGTGGTAGAGCCACGCGGCAGCTTTTGCTGTCGCACGGATGGGCCGGCTCGAACCGGGGTAGTACCACGACCTCACAGAAAACCAGCGTGAAGTAGAGGTTTACCTCTGCGTTTCGCTTGGTGAGTGCAGGTGGCCGGAGGCCCTTTTTACTGGAAATGAGGCATTCCATCTTAGTCCTCACGGGTGACAACGCATCTACATTTTGATTTGTAACAGAGGATAGATGTAGATGTCTATGGGCCGCAGCAACCACTTACCATCAGGTGGACTGTATGCTCGTTTGTCACCCATATCTTATAAAAAAAAAAAAAAAATATTGCAGCCAAAAAATATTTCTGAAATTTCCCATAGTTGCCACACACTACTGAACAACGTAAATCACTTAGGCAGCACCTAATTGATTTATTGTGCATTCAGCAGTCAGTGATTAGTGTGAGCACATGTTCAAAGTACACAGTCGTTAAATTTGGTAGAAACATGAAGCTGCATAAAAAGACCCATCCAAATTTTCTAGCACACCAAATTTGTGAAAACTTCTCTTCAAAGGTGTACACACCAAGAATTATAATGACTTAGTTTAGGTACTTTTCATTTTCATCAGCATTTTAAGCCCAAAGCTGGATACGAGCCTGTACAAGAACGCACCAAAAAGTAAAAGTAGTCTTTAAAATATAGCTCTTACTCATCACGCTGGGCAAGCAGAATTATGTGCACAGGGCTGATATTACTGAAAATGCTTATTAATCGCCAGTCTGCAGGATATCTATTCGGCATATAGATGAAATTGCTGGCGTGACTGTATCCTTTGAAACCGCAAGTTTGAGGTTATATTCATGTGTGATGATGAAACTGATGGACAATATATTATCCAGCAAATGCCACCCCTAAATTTCTAGTATAGTAGCAGTAGTAGGTTATAATACCTAAAAGAAAAAACTACTATGTTACTTGCACAATGTAAAAGCAGAAAATATACTCTATACTTATGAAACTTATTAACATGTTATACTCCATGTTGGTCTGGGGAAAAGAATGTGCCCACTATGTTACTTGCCTAGCGTTGTAAAAAGTATTTATTAGGATATTAGGTTTGTGATTGTGTAGGCGATCGGTTAATCATGGTAAATCATGTCCCTTACAATTTTCCATCTCTTCAACTAAACCTTCTTAAAAACGGTAACCTGTACTCTTCAATAAAACTAAATAATAACAATGCTAAAAATGAATCTGTGCAATCTTAACTAATTTGGATCTTATATTAGCTAATAATTTTTTACCATTGTTATTGGATGAATGAATGGATTTCCACAAAGTAATGCCTGATTCTATTAAAACAAAATAAATCATTAAATTTCTCACCTCATTTAAAGAATGTTTTGCTCTTCTGTACATAGAATTAGAAATGTAATTAGGAGATATAATTTCTGCAGTCCAACCGACATTCTGTACTGGTTCACTTTCAGTTAACATTTTTGTGAAAATTTCATCACGCTTATCTTCTGTTAGTGCTTTAGAATCGGCACATCCCAAAGACTGCAGAACTGCTTTCTGACTTAATGGACAGAATGCCACTCCATAAACCATTGGCCCTGGAATTGATAACTATAAAATTTATTAATTGAAACTTATTCTACTAGTTAAGTTTATTCTTCATACAGTTTCAAACTCACTCGAAAATTGGCCTATATGGTTAATAGAACCATATAGGCCAATTTTCGAGTGAGTTTGAAAACACTCCCATGGCAAACATAAATAGGGGGAAATGGGAATTCAAATTATTATCTTTATATATTCAGAATTCATATCCTTCATAATTCTGTCCTGAAACTTAACGTCAAGCAGGTACGAGGCCGTAGGCTAGGTTACCAGTTCTCGCAAAAAAAAAGAAAAAATCCATCACTTGTTTGGTTAAAGTTAAGTTAGCCTATATACGTCCCTCTGATGGGCACAGGCCTCTTCTCATTTCTGAGAGGGTTTATCACTTTTTCAAAATCTACAACCTAGACCACATCTTTAAGTACCTAACTACTACAAATTTACCAATTTTGCAATATTCTTTTATAATGTAATTGTGAATGATTTTAAAATAGTATATTATTTTTTTACTAATGAAATGATTCTGTAACAGTGCCATCTACATGGTATGTCAAGTACTACATCAACCTGCGAAGCCAACATAATTTATTCAATGGTGATGTCCCATAGGTTCCATACATTAGGTGACAGCGCCTGGTTTTGAACACCAAAAAAATTTATTGACCTAGGCCTGTTCACAGGTCTGACAGAATTGATCCGATTCAATGTTATAAATATATAATATAATGCTATATTTTAGTTGTAGCACAAATGGGTTGCCTTGACCTCTCACAGTATAACAGCGTAAATTAATAGTTTAATGATTCTGTTTCGTATGGTAAGTGTAGAAAACAGGAGGCTTTTTTTTCTGGAATGAGGCATTCCATCTTAGTTCTAAGGGGTGAAAACATGTTTGAATTTTAAATTTTAATCGAGATAGATGTAAAAATTATAAATAATATAAAATATATTATGTCGATGAGAATACTATAAATAAAATTCAATATTGTTGAATATAATATTGCATATAGAATGAATTAAAAAAAATTAAATCAAACAACAGAATAAGAAAGTGTTCAGCAGGAGAGACCAAATAGCTGAGGGTAAGAGGAAAGGGAACCCCAAAAACTAAATAGTTTCAGCCGTTGCCTCTTTGCTACTGAAAGTTGACAGTAAAATTACAGCAAATATTTAGCTGCACAATACAGGTTGTTTTTAAAATGAACAAACTTTATTTAAAAATACAAATGTATTGAAGGGTCTAGTTATCTACTTTTTAGTATAGCCTATCAGCATCGAAGCACAATGACCCTAAATGTCCGATAATAAAACGATTTTTTTTTAAATTCAAGTAATCATCTAAACAAAAATATCATACCTAAAACTGGTCCTCGACCTGCTTCATCAACTCCTAGCATACAAGGTTCAGACTTACAAATAGGTGGAACTTCTGAACAGTTTATAAAGTTCTTGGAGTTGTCTTTTGATCTAAGATAGTCCTCTAACGTTTTTAAAGAAACCATTATGAATTGGAATATAATTTAGAAAAATGCTTAATTATATATTATAGTATAATTTATAATATGTTTACTACAATTATAATACTTATTTATATGTTATAATAAGTAATAAGTATATTTCATCATTTTTAATCTGTCAAGCCTTTGAAGTACACATTGGTACACATTAGTCTTGGGTAGTTCGCGAACGACCTAGGTGGGAAGAGCGATCTTTTAGGTGAACTATGCGAACTAGTTCGTCGATAATCTCGCTCTTAGTTCTTTAAATATTTATTTTTCTGGCGTCCGCTCTATTATGGAGTAGCGCTGCATGGCTAACCGACTGATTTATTTTTACTCTTACCGTTCTCACCAGAGTTTAAAGTATATAATTTAGAGTCTCTAATAAAAGTTTTATTAGTGCACAATTCACAACAAATAACAAATATTGCTGGCTCACAATATTTATATGAAAGTGATAGTAAACAGTACATAAATACCGTATAGTTCTCAATGCGATTTTACGGTAAGTTTATTCAAATTAAAATATGTGTAGTTTTTTCGACAACAAGTTTATTCGAAGTAAAATTCAAAATGAAACCTCAATATAACGAAACTGAATGGAATTAGAAAGTATTCGTTATTTTACCAAGTTTTTTTTTATAGGATAAGGGTGACAAAAGAGCACACAGTCCACCTGATGGTAAGTGGTTGCTGTGGCCCATAGACATCTACATCTATTCTCTGTTACAAATCAAAATGTAGATGCGTTGTCACCCGTGAGGACTAAGAAGGAATGCCTCATTTCCAGTAAAAAGTGCCTCCGGCCACCTGCACTCACCAAGCGAAACGCAGAGGTAAACCTCTACTTCACGCTGGTTTTCTGTGAGGTCGTGGTACTACCCCGGTTCGAGCCGGCCCATCCGTGAGACAGCAAAAGCTGCCGCGTGGCTCTACCACTGTTAATTAAGTAATTCGTTATATTAAGGTTTGTTATATAGAGGTTAGGTGGAACTACAATTCGTTTTAACGAGGTAAGAAAACTTGTTTATTAATTTCACTATTACGTAAATAGTCATCTGCCTGTCATGTACGTGTCTGAACCTGTCATGACATGATTTATTGCGGAATTAAGTGGGAATAATTAATAGGATATGTTATGTCAAGATTTCAAGTTAAAAAAATTGGTTAAATAGAGGTAAATAATACCTCATATATATATATATATATATATATATGTGTGTGTGTGTGTGTGTGTGTGTGTGTGTGTGTGTTTGTGTGTGTGTGTCGTAAAAAGTTAAAATAGTAACGTCGTAATGTAGAATTATATTTTGCGTTAGCTCTTACAGGCAGTTCTAGAGGATTTCGATAAATTCGTTAAATCGAGGAATTCGTTATATTGAGGCTTGTTATATCAAGGTTACACTTTATTACTATGTTAAATTAATTAGCGACATGTAATCTATAAATTGCAGTTGTGTTATTTTCATTAATTCAATACACTTCAAAAATATAAAAGCATATTTAGTATCGTTTATCATATTTTATTTTAATTTCCATATCATCAAATAGTTCTTGATAAGTATCTTGCATATATTATATATTATGTAGTATATTACATACTAATTAATCTATTAATAATTTTTAAAGTAAATTCAATTAATTTTTATTTACTGACATTCAATAAACTCATCTTTTTTTAATAGATCTACTGAAAAATTAAAAAAGAACTAACTAAATGAGCGAACTAGTTCGCTATAGGACAACGAACTATATTGAGCGCTCCCAACGGCGACCGACTATGCCCAAGACTAGTACACATGAGGCAATCCAAGGTCAACTTTGTAGAACGCTCCAAAGAGTATGGTAATATTTAGAAAGGACCCCTCAGAACCAAAGAGTATATGATCACTACACTACGTTTAGTCAGAACCATAGTTATTGTGCTCATAACAATTATTTTTTAAATGTTATTTAGATGAACTATAAAACTAAAATTTTATTAGAATTAGTTTCGTTATTAAATTACGCTTCTTTAAATTAACAGAATTTACTTCAAATGACGAGTTTCCGCCTCGCGTCGCGTTTACGTCACATACTTTAGTCTTATATCCTTCGCCGCGTGAGTGTAAGAGGCAACTAGAAATTTTACAAAAAATTAAGTGGGTACAATAGAAAGTTTTTTGTTAGTTTTTATACAAATGGTAAGTAATTACACTGTTTTAAAATTTAATTCCTTATATTTTGCTTCGTAACAATTTCATATATTTTATAAAATTGCCATTTCAAATACTGTGTCGTTCACGTATCACTATATTTAATAGCCAGAATTAACTGAAAAGTAAATAAAAAGTGTGAGTTATCACAATAAATCATGTAATAAACACAAATTTTCATATCCCACAAAGTCCAATGCGCGAAAATTACGTTTTATGTTATAATTTCGATATATAGTGAACATTATGGCGAAGTTGTTTTCAACAATAACTAAAAATAAAAATGTGAATGTGAAGCACCAGCTTTCAAATAAAAAAAGAATCATCGAAATCAGTTCACCCAGAAGGTTATGAGGTAACACACATAAAAAAACACAGTCGACTTCCTTCTCCTGTTTGAAGTCGTTAGAAAAATGGCGTTGCTCAAAGATAGCGTAATAAAGTATATACTTTATTACGCTATCTTACGGATGTACAAGTATATACCTGTGATTTAATTTTTTTTGAGGCTTCTACTGAGTTTATCGATATAATTATATTATATATTTTTTTTCTTTATGAAAATCAAGTGTTTCTATGTCCTTGTTTCTTTCTTCATAATATTTATTCGATTTTAACATATATATATATGTATGTATATATATTGAATTTTAACATAATATAGCGATTCGTTAGATTTGCCTTAGTTGTAAAAGTGAAATAATATTTACTTTTTTTTCTTTTCAGTAGAATTGTTTGGTTTTGTTATTTAATATTGTTTTAACCATTGAACTTGTTTACGCAACTTTTGTTTAATAAATTGTTTGATGCTGTTTGATGACTTTTTTACACATAATTGTTTACCACCGGCGGATTTTCCAGACCGATACGACTTAGGGACCTTCAAGAAAAGAGCTTACACCTTTCTAAACGGCCGGCAACGCATCTGCAATTCCCCTGGTGTTGCGGTTGTTCACGGGCGGCGGTAGTCACTTACCATCAGGTGAGCCGCATGCTCGTTTGCCCCCTCTTCTATAAAAAAATAAAACACAAAAATATTTTTTTAAATAATAAAATTAATCCCTCCCTCTCCTTACAGTTTCATTCCACTGCTGGTGATGGACCGTTACATCCTATAAAAACCCCCAATGAACATAGGCCTCCACTATATTCCTCATAGAGGGTATACTTGTCATAGTTGCCACGTTCTGTTCCACGGTACACGTACCTTGTTGTATTGAACAGTGGATCAGTCGCCTCTTACGAAACCCACGGAATAGTATGAATATTCATACACCGCCACTACACAGTAATTGATAATTTCTCGAAACATTTCATTTATCGACAAATCGTCTTGCAATCGTCGTCACTCTAGCGCTCACTTGACCTTCATATAAATAATTCGATATTTTAATTGTTGATAATTTTTTATTTTTGGATATGAACATAGTAATGACTCTAAGTTATTTTTACCATTTTTTTAAAAAATCGTCTGGCCTGACCTACTATACTCTTTGGCTTGACCATAGTTCTAACTAAATATGTCCAATAAAATGTCAAGGTCTGAGAGGTTAAATTGAAAGAAACATTATATTTATAACTTGTTTATAACTTCATAGATAAATATATTATATGTAGCAAGCTATATAACTTATTTAAATTGAGATTTTTGGCTTGGATGCTTGTTTTTTTGGAGTTTATGGCCTTTGGCCTGGTATCTAGACCTTTAGGCCAAATTCTTGTTTGTTTTTAAATTCTGGTCAGTGTTGCCAGATTCCTCGAACCTTTTATCTGTAGTAGAAACTGCTAAAATCTGTATGCTAGTTTAACTTAAAATCTGTATAATCAAATAAACCAAAATAGAATTATTGATCATCATCATCATTATTGCTTCTTTTGAAAAACAAGGGAAATACGAACGTGATAAGGTTTGATTATCGTTATTAAATAAAAATATACACAAAAATTTTTATCAGCAATATTTAAAACATTAGTTTAAAGAAACAACATATTAAAACTAAAACATTTGCAACAAACGAACTAATAGTTACTTTATTATTACATATTTTTGATAAATTTCCACAGTAATTTATTATCAACCTCTAGGTTATAGACTAAAGAGCTAAAGGCTAAGTTAAATACTTTCAATAGTACCTATATTGTTTATTGCGTTGTTTTGTCTTTATTAAATTTATAGATGAGATCCTCTCTACGGCAGCACTGGAATGGGGTAAACTTAAGATTGCAGAATCAAATTTGGACAGCGTAGGATATAATTGATTGCTGTAGTTAGCAGGATCACGACCTACAATGACTTTACACCAGTAGGTTTCGGAGTAAGGTGTTAACATTAATGGCAAATACACAAATTTAAAATATACAACACCTTCAATTTGCTGACGATATAGTTATTATGGCTGAATCGCTGGAGGACCTAAGCACTATGCTCAACGAACTCAGTGGTGTTTTCCAACAAGCAGGTTTTAAGCTTTTAAGTTGAACATAGACAAGACTGAAATCATGTCTAAAATGTCTTATACACGGCCCACCTTATCGTACGTCACTCCAAAGTCATTCACAAGGCACGACGCAAAACAACAATGATTGAGTGACTTCATGACCTTGGCGGGACATACGTCAAGATGGACCGTGTATAAGACGTTTAACGGGACTAACGGTCTAACGTCCATGTTACACTTATACCAGTAGTTGTTGAGAACACTTTGCTTGAAGTTGTTGATGAGAATGTGTACCGGTCATATTACAATGTCCCTTTTTGTAGGTGTAAGTCCAACTTCAACCAAGAGGTCAACCAACGAAACCAACTCGGGAATCTGTGACAATTCTTGTCAATTTCTCAAAATCATAAGAAGTGTAAGTAAAACCAGTGTTGTCACTGATGATTCATTCTTAGATTCTTAGGCAAAATTCTGCTATCCATCTCCTGTTATAGTTTCTTTCTATTTCCTTTTCAACAACCACAGGATGGTATAGTGTAGTGGATTCTCTTACGAGGCTCCTACACGACGATTATATTATAATAGTAATTATAATTTAATTTATCTGCAGGCCAATGGGAACACACTTACACTCTTCCGTAACTCTACCAGCGCCTACTACCCTGTCACGGTCTCTCCTTTGGGGAGGATAACTCATATCATCCCCCTATTATCCTTGTAAGGTGTACCGAAACACAACTCTACCCTTAGACGCTAGCTAGCCGGACCTATAAAACTGGATGTTTTGGGTCTGATACTTTTTTAAATAATTATACCAGCAAAACTTCTATGATAGGATCACAATACACGAGTGTATGCGCAAGCACTAGTGGACTCTATTTACTCACTCTCATAGTCCGATAGGACGGTTATCCTACAAGACTGAAGAGAGATCAGGCTCAGGACCATCGGTTTTACGTGCTTTCAGAGGGTTGTAAGTGAAACAACACCAACTTGTGAACTCGGGGCTACTACTGAGAATTTTTGACACAAAATACCAATAACTGGTTTTGCTCGAACTCAGGATTCAAACCTGGGACCTCAAAACCTCAACTGCCTCATTGAGGCAATAAGGTCAAAAAACTATTATAATAGCCATAATATTAATAAAAGACGTTGTATTTATTGGTTTTAAAGATTAATTGATTTCAACTTTTTACAATCGCTGGTACTTAAATAAATAATAAATAAATAAATAAATATCATTTTATTGCCACTTTTAAACACATGTTTACATATAAACTAATTATTTAACCTTAATTTAATTTAGGCAAACGGAGGTGACTCAGCTTTTGCTCACATGGAACTAGATCCCATGAAGCGCTGATTTTCAGGCACTCCTTCTTCCCTGAGATGTTACACGGGTGTTATGAGAATTTCGAGTTCCCCAATCACCTCTTTCATTTACTCCTCATCTATCATTGGAATTTAACATGGTATGGTTGTGAACTTTCATAATTATTAATTAATCAGTTAATAATTCTTGCATTCGTGCGCACGCGCGCACGCGCACGCGTATGTGTGTATGTATGTGTGTGTGTGTGTGTGTGTGTGTGTGTGTGTGTGTGTGTGTGTGTGTGTGTGCGTGCGTGCATGTGTGTATGTGTGTGTGTATGTGTATGTGTGTGCGTGATTGTACAGTTTATAATATAAGGGGATGTTTTATAAGGGTTATATCATAATTTTAAAAAAAGTCTCTTAAGTTTATATATTTCCAGTAGGTATGTTTCAAGTTTTCTGCAGCAATTTGCCGCTTCAGCAATGCTGATTTATATTTAGCTTTGAAGCTTTCCGTACTCATTTTATTTCTCATAGGAGGGGGCAAATCGTTCCATATCCTTGCTGCAACAAACTTGAAACATCCTCTGTACCGCGTTGTTTTATGTTTTGGCATGCTTAACATGTTTAACGAGTTCGTACGAAGGCTTCTATGTGAAATGTCTTTGATCCATAGGAGTTTTTCAAATAGGTACTCAGGCTTTTTGTTCCATATTACCCTATGCACTGTACAAGCGTACTGAAGCTCCCTTCTAGCACTCATGTTAAGTAAGCACTTTTTATTTAAGTACGGGGTAATAGATTCTCTTTTGGGCGCATTAAAGCAAAAACGAACACATGCATTTTGCACTCTTTGTATTGCCCTCTCTGTGTTAAACTTTAGTCTTGGACCAAAGGTGGAACTGCAGTAATTAAATTGAGATAGTACCAGGGTATCACATAAAAGTATCCGTAAATCCTCCTTAAGATATGGTCTGATTTTGTAGAGCGTTTTCAGCTTGAAAAATGCTGTCCTTATTTTGTTATTAACGTGATCAATAAATTTTTGTTCCCCATCTAAAATCAGGCCGAGATTACGGGCAGAGGTTACTTGTTCCAGAATAACATTATTTATTTTTACTTTTTCTCCAACGTCTAATACATTTTTTATTTGGCGTTTAGTGCCTAAGACCAACATTTGAGATTTGGCTGCATTGAGAACCAAAGAGTTATTTTCAGACCATGTGTGAATACTTCTCAGGTCATCATTAACTTTCTCAATAGCTTTTCGAGCGTCTTTACTGTAAAACGAGTAGTACAGTTGTGTATCATCAGCATATAAGTGATATTTACAAAACTTTATATGCCTAGGTAGATCTGCTGTAAAAATTGTAAATAGGACTGGACTAAGTAGAGAGCCTTGAGGTACGCCGCGCTGAACTGACCTGAGACACGACCGTCTTTTTTCTCCGTATTTGTCGTCAGTTTCTACCATTTGTTCTCTATTAGCGAGGAAACTGTGAAACCAGAGACATGTATTCTTTGAGAATCCATAGCAACTTAGCTTATCTAAAAGTAGTTCAGTTTTCAAACATGTTGCCACACAACATTCTGGTTACATTGGCTACAAGTGGTTGTTACAACCACTTGTAGCCAATGTAACCAGATGTTCCCCAGTGAACTTTTACTTTCCTCACATGAGTGCAGTGTGAAACCTACCGAAGAGAAGAAATATCCGTGTCATGTTTGCTCTGAAAAGTTTCCTAGTTAAACAATGCTCGAGAATAATCAAGTAATACCATTATACTACTCATCCCCATATCCGAAGCCTCGGTCAGGTCGTCTGTGACGTGTAAAAGTGCAGTTTCTGTACCATGACCCCTGCGAAAGCCCGACTGAAATTTAGGTATTACATCTCTGGTTTCTAAGTAGTTCAGCACTTGATTTAACACTACTTTTTCTAAAACTTTAGATAGTACTGGCAAAATCGAAATAGGACGCAAGTCTTTTATTTCGGTAGGAGAATTTTTTTTAGGTATGGGCCTTACCAGTGCTCTTTTCCAACATGATGGAAAAGTATTTGTTTCAATTGACTTATTCAGTATCCTCGTAATAATAGAAAGAGTCACATCTACTTAACACATGAAAATGACCTTGCATTATAAACCACCAAATTCTGCTTCTGTTGTCGAAACATTACACTATTGTTAGCAAATAACACTAAAACACTAAATTGCAGAGTACATTTTTTAGACATGGAATTATTATAACTCCATGTTTTATATAGTGGAACTAAAGAAGACTAAAAAGTAGCAATAATTTTAAGTAATTAGAAAATAACTAAAACCCACCTTATACCACCGAATAAATAATAGTACAAGAACTTTTACTTAAACAAAAACACATTTTAATTAAAACTAATTCCATGAATTGAAATTAATCCATTTATTTTAAATTGCTTTATTAATGGTAACTTTATTTATTTAATAATTAAGCTACCTACGTACAATAATTTTATTCCGCTTTACTTACTGCTTATAGTATCCACTAAGTAGTCTGTGCTGCTTATAGGTACTCTTTAGCTTGTAACTTGTTAAATTTACATTGGATATCAAATTATCTTATTATGTTTACTTATTTTATATTGTTTATTTGTTTTTTGTAATGAATGTAAGAATTAAAATTATATTTTCAACAACACGACCAATTTTCTATTATGATTACATTAATAAACACATTACTAAATGACATAATTTAAAACAGGGCTTAAAGCGCTCGATGTGCTGCAATCTGTTATCGAGTTTTCAATTCAATTTCAAATTCAATGACAAAGACGCATTCAACTAACCAATCCGACATCCATATACATATACAGCAGTGTAGTGCAGTGTATAGCATAATATTTTTAGATGTAGAAAATAAGTGTCATCTGCATATTTATTTAAATCAAAGTTGTTTATATCGTGGACATAAAAGGTAATGTTATTTGTTTTATTTAAAATTATTTTAGAGCGCATTTTGTAGTATTATTTTATAGTAATTGTAAACTCGTTTGTAGGTTAGAGTAGTGAGATATAATATGCAGAACAACCCCCAGGAGCTTTCATGGCAGGCGATCCAAGCTATCGTGGGGGTTAAACTACCACCAAATGTGTTACGATTCGACGATATTGGATTTCATTTAGTCAATAATTCAGTTTCTAGCGCTGAAGATTCCGACTCGGATGTAGAAATTGTTGAAAATGATTGGGAGTCAGACTACAACATATCCTCGAAGCTTGAAAACTCTGACAATGAAAAAGCATCACCGGATAGAGAACAAAGCGAGTCACCAGTTCTTCATCTCGTAGAGCCAGATAATAACAATTCAGATAAAAATATGTTAGATTACAGAGACTATTTAGTGAAAATGGATACCAAAGATAATTCAGATATTGACCAAATGATTCAACCCCAAATCGACGATGCTGATAGTTCTAATGGGAATGTTATGTCGATTGAAAATTACCTAGAGGTCACACTGTCTACTGATTCAGAGGCTAGTCATACTTGTAGCCAATGTAACCAGATGTTCCCCAGTGAACTTTTACTTTCCTCACATGAGTGCAGTGTGAAACCTACCGAAGAGAAGAAATATCCGTGTCATGTTTGCTCTGAAAAGTTTCCTAGTTATTGGGAGCTTAGAAAACATATAAATAATCATTTTCCAGGAATGTTAGACTCGAAGTCCAGCTTCTGTCATCTTTGCCAGAAAGATTACACTAAAACGGGCTTTATGAATCATCTACGTAAGCACACAGGCGAAAGGCCTTTTGTTTGTGAACTATGCCATAAAGCATTCTCTCAGTCAAGCTCCCTCTCTATACATATGAAGTTCCATTTGAATGTGCGAAAACATGCTTGCACTGTCTGTGAGAAAAAGTTTGTAACAAAGAGTGAACTCTCACGTCATATGACAGTACATACTAAGCAAAAATCTTATTACTGTGGAGTGTGTGACAAGGCATTCACTCGCTCCGATAATATGAAGAAACATGAGAAAACTCACGGTTGATTTTGACATTAGTTTTGTATTTGAAGCTAATAGTATCACACACTGTAGACTCAAGCATTTATGAAAATTGAGTTGAATATTTTATTTCTACTCTTAAATATAGTGTGTTCTACTCATAATACAAAGCTGTATGTTCCAATTCTCTAATTGCCAAAAAATTTAGTCATATGATTTTAAATGAAAATTTTCATCTTTTTATGCCAAATTTGAAAGTTTGATGGTCTAGTTCATAATTTAGTCATTATGGTGTGTTAATGTGAGTCTCCAAACACTCATGGTGTGCCGCTGTAGTTGCTTTTGAGTTAAGAATATTATTTATGCGATATATAAATGCATGTTTGGGGTACATATGTTTAATGTTAGTTAATGTCTTTGCAGGTGCTTTAAATATAGAGTCACACATATCTCAATCCAAAGTTGCCTTTTTAGATATGATAAGGTGATATATTAACTTGTGAATATAGGTCAAATGACCAAAGACTCTGATAGATAGCCTTAATGTTTGCATATGATAGAAAATTGGGGCCTTCATACATCAAGAAACATTTTTCACTATAACATATAATTGTTCCTGCTTTTCTGAGAGCTTTAATATTATTGTATATTTTTGTACATCTTTACTTCAAGGTATAGAAATACCAGATGTAAAGTGTCCTTTTGCCAAATTTTAGATAAGTATTTAAAGTGATTCTTATGGAACTGTGTTGTAACCAAAGCAATAATAATTTCTTATGTGCCTAATCTATATAATGTAACTGCAACAAATACCAAATAATTCTTAGTTTAGAAGAAGCATAGAAGTAAATCTAGACATGCCAAATTGGATCTATAGTCAATAATTTTATATATTTATGATAATCATATTTTAATTAGCACTATTTCATGCCACCAAATTTTTTCTTGTAAAATGGTCTCAAAACAAAGTTTAGCCATTTCGAACAACTAGTATACATTTAAGTGTAGTGTAATTAAGTCTATGGTAGTTAAATCAGTTAAATATGTTGATAAATACATCACAAATGTGGAACAGTGACAATATACTAATTGTAAAATGTAGGTAAATAATAGTTCTTATTAAATGACAAAGTCAAATATTTACTATCATTCTGTATACAAATGTTTTGCTTGGTATTTACTATGTAATATTTTTATTACAAACCATTTTATAACAATGTATGTAAATTAAGAATACACTAGATGAATTATGTAATTGGCAAATAAACCAAAGTTGTATTTATAGGCAGTGCCACATTTGGAAATCAAATACAGATTGTCAATATTGCATATTTTATGACAAGTTTTATATGTTTAGTAGTAGGCAATAATTACATTTTAATATATTTATTATATTTAAATATTTAGAGGTTTAGCTGCATGACTTGTTTATAGAATAAGGAATTAGATTGAGCCAAATAAAAAAAAATCACAAAAATCTACAAGACTGACAATAATATTCAGAGTAGATATTAACTCTTGCACAAAAGAAACCTTATATTTATTGATGCCTATATTAAACTGCAATTTTTATTATTTATCGAAAATGCACCTTGTTATAAACTCATCATGACAATTAGAATAAGATCCGTTTAATACAAATTATAAACTGTTTTATGAAAAAATGTAATAATTGTCAATTTTATTAAAAGAGTTGTTTGTTGCAAGTCATGTTTTATTTCATTTCTAAACTAAATAGGTCATTTTCCCTTTGTTCTAGGTTACGCTAACGATGTCAGCCAGGTTGCGTAATCTAAATCCGTATGAGTTACATAAGCATTTAGTTAATATATACTGTTTGAATAAAAAAGGCTCCACTGCCAATCTTAAACGGGACACCTCCAGAGATCGCACAGACCTCGACGTCATTAGAGAAAACCACAAATTTCTCTGGGAAGATGACGATGTCGCCGACACCTGGGAGAAACAATTAGCTAAAAAGTATTATGATAAGCTCTTCAAAGAGTATTGTATCTGTGATTTAAGCAGATATAAAGAAAATAAAGTAAGTTTGGAGTTTATTTTTATATAGAAAATACAAATAGATTGAAATGATTAATGCTATTAATTAAACAAAACAATAATAGTAAAATTACCAATCATGTGTAGATTGTTAAAGAGTTTAATCATAGCTTTTCATAATATTATAATACGAGGAGCAGAGATATTACTAACGGTCAATACTCTATACATAATATAATATGCCATACTACTGATACTATTTGCATTTGAGAATTTATATGCGACATTGAAGATAAAATTATGTACGTCGATCTCCCCTAACTATTAAAGGTTGAGCCGGGGCTGGTGAAATTCAATTATTTTTTTGCCCGAGAGACCTTCCTTTGTGTGATATACTAGGGTGCGCAACAATAACCGTAGTGCCTTTTTGTAGGCTAAATATAGCCCCTGTACATTCACCCGCGTTGTTATATTAAAGTAACAAGAGCACATCTGCCTCCTCTTTTAATGTCACGGTTGGAAGTGACGAAAAACTGAATTGTTAGCGATTGGTGTAAATATATATTATGCATATATGTAGGTACTTAATTAAATTTGATTATTAGGTGAAAAAGATCGAAAGTAAATATTTAAGTAAAAATCTGCACACTTATGCTCTTCTTATGATTGAGCATTTTTACTTTCTCAGACAAAAAGGTTTCATTGCTGGTAAACAAAGCTTTAAAAACTAAACTTTAATTGCATTTAACAATTTCATGAAAGCCGACTCTGTTCGGAATTGGCTTGCGCTGCCACGGTTAGGCTAGCTAGGTCATAATTATGCGTTACATTAGTATAAGGAATCTTTTTCTTTAATAAAAATACGATGTGGGTAAAGTCCACAGTCCACACGAGAATCATTTACCTACTTTTTTAGGCTAAGAATATTATCGTAAAATTCAGAAACAAATAATTATGGTTAAATAGTGTTCCGAAGTAATAAATTATATAAGATATCATCTAAGATGGACCGTAAATGTTATCCAAGATTTCTGAATGGCTCTTCGGCATGGTCAGAATAATATGGGTCTTTTCCTATGAAATTGCCGTTCTGCAGTAGATACTGGCCATTTCAAAACAAAATAATTGTTGTTAGGCTAAGAATTCTAATTTCAAATTAAGTTTTCAAAATTAGTCATTTGTTTATTGATTAGCGTTATGGATACGTTAAAAATTCGAGTAATTATGAAATATGAGTACCGTCGTAGCAGCCACGCGGCACAAGCGCCACGCAACATCAACGACGTTTACGGAGCGAATACTACAAACGAAGCACCACCTTCCCCGCTTTCGTTCTGGAATTTTCAACCTGAAAAATGACCCAGTGGTCGTCCGAAAACTTTGGTCGACAATTACGAATTAAAGACTGTTGTGGAAGCTGATGATACTCAATCTACGGTTGAACTAGCAGCAGCTTTCGACATTAACACTAAAACAATATTGGTCTATTTTCGTTAAATTGGCAATGTTTGACAAATGGGTGCTCCACGAACTCAATGGTCGCCAGCGCGAAGTATACGCTTCGAAACGTGCCTTGCTCAACTAGCACAAATTTACGAAGAAATTTTAAACCGCATTGTTACCTGCGACGAAAAATGGATTCTGTTTGACAATCGCAAGCGCTCAGCAAGTTGGTTGGATCCTGGTTCAGCACCTAAACATTGTCGTAAACGAAAACTTACCCCCAGAAAAGTAATGGTCACTGTTAGGTGTTCTAGCGCCGGTGTGATTAATTACAGCTTCTTACCAAACGGGATGAGCATTAATTCAGATGTGTATTGTAACGGACTGAACACAATGATGGAGAAGCTCGTATGTCTCCAACAAGCTGTGGTCAATTGCTCGTCCCCGCTGCTCCTGCACGACAACGTGCGACCTCATACTGTAAAACACACGGTCTACAAATTACAAAAGCTGGGGTTGGGAGCTCTCGTTAATCCCCCGTACTCACCAGACCGTGCTCCTACAGACACTTTCCAGAATTTGGATAACTTTTAGGCGGGAAAAATTTAATATCGGAGAGGCAGTACAAAATGCCTTTGAAGAATTTGTTGTCTCCCGTGCATCTGATTTATTCAAGAAGAGCATAAATACTCTGCCACTGCATTGGCAAAGATGCATCGATAGATTGCATGGGAGATTACTTAGGTTAATAGATATAAAAATAAATAAAAAAAATTCGTTAACCTATTTCACAAAAAACGGCAATTTCATAGGTAAAGAACTAATAATATGTTATTAAAGTGAAACAAGAAGTAGATTTAAGAGAAATAAATATGTACTAGTAGTGCTTAACAGCACTACTAATACTCATACAGGTTAACCGTTCATCATTCATCTAACACCCATTTGTAGTAATTCTGTGTGTTGGGGCCAAGCGATCACTCGCTTCATACCTGAACAACCGGAACTCTATCACGGTAGCTGGTAAAACTGAAATGGTTAATTAGAATTTTGATTTCCTACATATTAGACGGCAAAATAATAATTGTGAGGAAACATTATGTACCGGAAACATAACATATTACAATATTTTATATGAAATAATAATAAGTTAAAATGATTAAGTATTTATTGTTAACATTTATTTTATGATTACATTATTGCATAATATTTTTATTCATAGGTTTCATTTTTTTATATTTTATTCATACTGTATAGATACATTATAAGTTAAAATCCCATGATAGTCTTGTCTTGTCTGAAACCGTATGTTTTAAAAATTATAGAGGTTCAGTCTATTATTTATTCTATGGTTTCACGTTGAATAAATATTCTATACTGAACCATAGATTGAAGAAATATTAATATAGTAGGTCCTTTTACCTTTTTAATTTTTTTTCTCGTACGTTTCGAAGAAATTAAGCGTTTATAAAGTTAATTGTGACTCGAACTTATCGTAATGATTAACCATTTTATAATGTTTCTAGACTATTTATTTATCTATGTTTCTAGATGGCATAGGATTACTTTAAAGAAACTATTGTTACTTTCCACACCAGGGTGCCAGGTTAGTTTAAATTTTAAATCTCACACTCACACCAGAAGTAGCCCTATTTTCCTTTTCCTAGGGTTCGTAAAAGGGTATATTTTTTTGATAATGTCTGAAAATTACATTTTCTGTGAGAAATAATTATCAAAATATATTGGTAAATCCAATTGGGTATACCTTAAGCGAATTAAAAAAATTACGTATAACATGATTATACGGAACTTTTAAAGTAGTTTAAATACATTTCGACAGCACTATCGGCTTCAACACCCTCGAAAACTATGAAAATGACACCCATGATGAAAAAATTGGTACCTACTTCAGCCGCCATCTTGGATTTACATTTCGACAGCACTATCGGCTTCAACACCCGCGAAAACTATGAAAATGACACCCATGATGAAAAAATTGGTACCTACTTCAGCCGCCATCTTGGATTTACATTTCGACAGCACTATCGGCTTCAACACCCTCGAAAACCATGAAAATGACACCCAAGATGAAAATATTGGTACCTACTTCAGTCACCATCTTGGATTTACATTTCGACAGCACTATCGGCTTCAACACCCTCGAAAACCATGAGAATGACACCCATGATGAAAAAATTCATATCTATTGCAGCCGCCACCTTTTATTTATATTTATACAGCACTATCGGCATCAGCACGCTCGAAAACCATGAGAATGACACCCATGATGAAAAAATTGATATCAATTGCAGCTGCCACCTTATATTTACATTTCGACGGCACTATCGGCATCAGCACCCTCGAAAACCATGAAAATGACACCGATGATGAAAAAATTGATACCTATTGCGGCCGCCATCTTGGATTTACATTTCGACAGCACTATCGGTTGAAACACCCTCGAAAACCATGAAAATGACACCCAAGATGAAAAATTGATATCTATTGAAGCCGCCATCTTGGAATTACATTTCGACAGCACTATCGGCTTCAACACCCGCGAAAACCATGAGAATGACACCCATGATGAAAAAATTGATATCTATTGCAGCCGCCATCTTGGATTTACATTTCGACAATCCTATCGGCTTCAACTCTCGAAAAGCATGAAAATGACACCCATGAGGAAAAAATTGATATCTATTGAAGCCGCCATTTTGGAATTACATTTCGACAGCACTATCGGCTTCAACACCCTCGAAAACCATGAAAATGACACCCATGATGAAAAAATTGATATCTATTGCAGCTGCCACCTTATATTTACATTTCGACGGCACTATCGGCATCAGCACCCTCGAAAACCATGAAAATGACACCGATGATGAAAAAATTGATACCTATTGCGGCCGCCATCTTGGATTTACATTTCGAGAGCACTATCGGTTGAAACACCCTCGAAAACCATGAAAATGACACCCAAGATGAAAAATTGATATCTATTGAAGCCGCCATCTTGGAATTACATTTCGACAGCACTATCGGCTTCAACACCCGCGAAAACCATGAGAATGACACCCATGATGAAAAAATTGATATCTATTGCAGCCGCCATCTTGGATTTACATTTCGACAATCCTATCGGCTTCAACTCTCGAAAAGCATGAAAATGACACCCATGAGGAAAAAATTGATATCTATTGAAGCCGCCATCTTGGAATTACATTTCGACAGCACTATCGGCTTCAACACCCTCGAAAACCATGAAAATGACACCCATGATGAAAAAATTGGTACCTACTTCAGCCGCCATCTTAGATTTACATTTCGACAGCACTATCGGCTTCAACACCCTCGAAAACCATGATAATGACACCCATGATGAAAAAATTGATATCTATTGCAGCCGCCATCTTGGATTTACATTTCGACAACCCTATCGGCTTCAACTCTCGAAAAGCATGAAAATGACACCCATGAGGAAAAAATTGATACCTATTGCAGCCGCCATCTTGGATTTACATTTCGATAGCACTATCGGCTTCAACACCCTCGAAAACTATGAAAACGACACCCATGATGAAAAAATTGATATCTATTGCAACCCCCATCTTGGATTTACATTTCGACAGCACTATCGGCTTCAACACCCTCGAAAACCATGAAAATGACACCCATGATGAAAAAATTGGTACCTACTTCAGCCGCCATCTTAGATTTACATTTCGACAGCACTATCGGCTTTAACACCCTCGAAAACCATGAAAATGACACCCATGATGAAAAATTTTATATCTATTGCAGCCGCCATTTTGGATTTACATTTCGACAGCACTATCGGCTTCAACACCCGCGAAAACCATGAGAATGACACCCATGATGAAAAAATTGATATCTATTGCAGCCGCCATCTTGGATTTACATTTCGACAATCCTATCGGCTTCAACTCTCGAAAAGCATGAAAATGACACCCATGAGGAAAAAATTGATATCTATTGAAGCCGCCATCTTGGAATTACATTTCGACAGCACTATCGGCTTCAACACCCGCGAAAACCATGAGAATGACACCCATGATGAAAAAATTGATATCTATTGCAGCCGCCATCTTGGATTTACATTTCGACAACCCTATCGGCTTCAACTCTCGAAAAGCATGAAAATGACACCCATGAGGAAAAAATTGATACCTATTGCAGCCGCCATCTTGGATTTACATTTCGATAGCACTATCGGCTTCAACACCCTCGAAAACTATGAAAACGACACCCATGATGAAAAAATTGATATCTATTGCAACCCCCATCTTGGATTTACATTTCGACAGCACTATCGGCTTCAACACCCTCGAAAACCATGAAAATGACACCCATGATGAAAAAATTGGTACCTACTTCAGCCGCCGTTTTAGATTTACATTTCGACAGCACTATCGGCTTCAACACCCTCGAAAACCATGAAAATGACACCCATGATGAAAAATTTTATATCTATTGCAACCCCCATCTTGGATTTACATTTCGACAGCACTATCGGCTTCAACACCCTCGAAAACCATGAAAATGACACCCATGATGAAAAAATTGGTACCTACTTCAGCCGCCATCTTAGATTTACATTTCGACAGCACTATCGGCTTCAACACCCTCGAAAACCATGATAATGACACCCATGATGAAAAAATTGATATCTATTGCAGCCGCCATCTTGGATTTACATTTCGACAACCCTATCGGCTTCAACTCTCGAAAAGCATGAAAATGACACCGATGAGGAAAAAATTGATATCTATTGCAGCCACCATCTTGGATTTACATTTCGATAGCACTATCGGCTTCAACACCCTCGAAAACTATGAAAACGACACCCATGATGAAAAAATTGATATCTATTGCAACCCCCATCTTGGATTTACATTTCGACAGCACTATCGGCTTCAACACCCTCGAAAACCATGAAAATGACACCCATGATGAAAAATTGGTACCTACTTCAGCCGCCATCTTAGATTTACATTTCGACAGCACTATCGGCTTCAACACCCTCGAAAACCATGAAAATGACACCCATGATGAAAAATTTTATATCTATTGCAGCCGCCATTTTGGATTTACATTTCGACAGCACTATCGGCTTCAACACCCGCGAAAACCATGAGAATGACACCCATGATGAAAAAATTGGTACCTACTTCAGCCACCATCTTGGATTTACATTTCGACAGCACTATCGGCTTCAACACCCTCGAAAACCATGAAAATGACACTCATGATGAAAAAATTTATACTTATTGCAGCCGCCATCTTGGATTTACATTTCGATAGCACTATCGGCTTCAACACCCTCGAAAACCATGAAAATGACACCCAAGATGAAAAAAAATGATATCTATTGCAGCCGCCATCTTGGATTTACATTTCGACAGCACTATCGGCTTCAACACTATCAAAACTATGAAAACGACACCCATGATTAAAAATTGGTACCTAATTCAGCTGCCATCTTGGATTTACATTTCGACAGCACTATCGGCTTCAACACCCTCGAAAACCATGAAAATGACACTCATGATGAAAAAATTTATACTTATTGCAGCCGCCATCTTGGATTTACATTTCGACAGCACTATCGGCTTCAGCACCCTCGAAAACCATGAAAATGACACCCATGACAAAAAAATTTATACTACTTACTTTTAGTACGTACCTACTACTATTATTTATTCTGTGCTTTTAAAATATTGTAATAAAAAAAATCTCTTATTATTATTATAATCAAGTATTTAAGAAAGTTGGTTATTCAAATATCGTGTATTTGTACAGGGATCTTTTTGAGCCGCTGCAAACAACTAAAATAATGTCCACTCACGACGGCGATTGACGCCGAACTGGGTGTGAGTAAACGACTCTGTGGCTGTAGCTCCCCATTTACAGAAATAATTTACATACAAGGCTAACAAATCAACGAGAATTTCCCCATTTTGGAGCCGAAAAAAATTAATAATAGCTAAACAAAACAAAATTACACTGCCATTTACATTCAGTGGCTTCCCACATGATAGATGAAAAGATTAAAAAATAGATTGAGTTAAACAATTGATATTTTCAAAAGTTATTGTGTTTACAAGCCTTGGGGACATGATAAATCCACACCATAAGCCACTAAAACCCCTTTTTTATTTAAAAATAGCTATTAATCGATTAAAAAAAATATTAATAAGTTCAACAATCATTTATCATTCTAACAATGTGCTTTTTATATCATTTATATGTATAATATGATTGCTAGATACGATTTTATTCGATAAAACGTTGGAATCTTAATTTTTAGGCGATAGTAGAACATACCTTGCGCTTTCGTTTAAGGTATGCAATTGTTATTTTGTTTGGTAATTAGGGTCCAAAAATAATGTTCGCTTCGGCATAATTTTATACTCAGGATCCACGATTCCTTATTTCGTTCTTCATCTTCACCAGCCCATAAAAGTCCACTGAGTAATATGTATCTCTCCTTTGGTTAGGAAGATTTGGCGTTATCACAACACTTGGCAGGCGTATTGCGACATCGCAATACACGATGTTTCTCTCGTTTGATGCTACTCTCTGTTATCGGTCTGAGTATTTTTGGTTTGGCACAAACGGGACGGTTATTTAAACAATTTGTCGGAAGTCCCTTCCGGTTTTTATAGTACGCTTCTTACAGCATGCACTTGTAAATGAAAGATAATACACTCTTACGAGGTAGAGCCATGCTGCAGCTATATTAGTGGTATAGTTGTTGCACGAATGGTTCGGCTCGACCTGGGTAGGACCACGCTCCCATAGAATACCAGCGTAAAATAGCAGCTTAACGCTGCTGCGTTTCGTATGGTGAGTGTAGAGAACCGGAGACCATTTCTACTGGAAATTAGGCATTCCATCTTAGTCCTCACGCGTGACAACTCATCTGCATCAAGTAATTGAGGACAGATGTAGATGCCTATGGGCCACAGTAACCACCTACCGTCTGATGGACTGTGTGTTCGTTTGTCACCCATAACGACGATGATGATGTATTCTCTTACATGGCCATCACACGGCATTTGCTATGTCCGACCCTTGAATCTTGCAAACAGTTTCGTCTACTGTTATGCAATACGGTATGAGTTATAGCAAAGAAAACAGACGTAGGTTTAATTTGTATGTTTTAGCGTCAACTCCAGTACACTCAATGCAATTATTTGATTGCTGTTACTCTGTTATAGTTAGCTCATGTGTAGGTTTGATATATATAATTAAAAAGAGATAAAAAATATATAGGTATATTATATGTTATTTTAACAAAATTTTCCTACCTATTTTTAAAACCTATTCTTATGCTTTGTCATTTTGGTAAAATGGTTACATTAAAATATCGAATGTGTTTTGTATTATAAAGGGTTATTTTTCAATTACCGGCCAAATTTGCAGAGAAGGTTCAGAATAAGTAACAGGCAAGGCAAATGGTGAACACAATTTAATTAAAGAAATATCAATAATTCTGTCCTTTTTATTTTTTCTTTTAATTCAAAATGCGCGGTAATGCATTATTTTAACTGATTATACTGCGTACGCAAACATTCGTAAGAGTCGATCGGTAGGCAAAAACGTTGTTGCCCATAAATCACATTTAATTTGGGATAATTTCAAATAAAAGTAGTTATATATTTGAACTTAAGTTTAAAATTGAAAAATTTTAAACTTAAGTTCTTGTTCTTCTACTTTGAAAAAATGTTAATGATAACTATGTACTTTAACTGAAAGGTAGCTCTGCGTTGGCGCGTAGAAAGGGAAGTCGTGTTAGGCAAGGGCCAGTTTCAATGCGGTGCGAAGCAGTGTAACAGCTCTCAAGATCTGAAGTCTTGGGAAGTGAATTTCGCTTACGTCGAAGATAATGAGAAGAAAAATGCCCTCGTAAAACTTCGTAAGTTAAATTTACTGTCTTTACACGGGCTTTATTTTTTGTTAAGAAATTTGCTTAGCACGAAAAAGATCGTTTACGATGATTCCACTTTTATTCTATAGCGGTTGGCACATTATTTGTAGTGCACGTTGTTTCTTGACGGGACTTTACTTTTGAATTCCATACATCAGAACTCAGAACCAGCGATTGTGTCCGGCTTGTTTATGTTTATAAAATTCAAGGCAATAGAAAACATTCTAAACTACTAAGGAGCCGATAAATGGGTGATTTTCAAAATATCTGTACATTTTGTAGTTTGAAAACGTCTACGTGAATATTATCCAAGAAAAATGCATTAAAGTGATCAAACTAGTATTATTATCCTTGAGCAACACTTTTCCTGATGGGTTTCAACATTTCAGATCATTATTAATATGTGATTAAAAAAAAAATGATGGATACTTCTTCAGTCTCATAATATTTTCATATAGCAACCTCGTGTCTCTAAGCACGTGTGCGTAACAAAAAAAAACATAAAGAAACTACCCACATATAATTTACATGTTCTAGTTGCACAATATCTTTATGACTCTAATTATGATGTAAATTATATAAAATATTAATTAATAACCTAATGCATGATACGAGGTTGACACTCGAAAATCAAAAACTGAACAAACTAGCAAGTTATTAGTTTTATTATATCTTTTCAAAATAGTGTCCCTTTACATCAATACTTTAGCAGCCACTGCTTCCTCAGCGTCCATAAAACGTTTTCCTCGAAGCTTTTCTTTTTTTTTTCGGAAATAAGTACAAAAATCGATGTCGGGGCTATAGGGCGAGTGACCCAGTAATTTCACGTCTGACATCGCCAAGTAGTCGATTGTTTGCTTGGCGGTGTGCAACGAGGCGTCGTCGTGATGAAAGAGGATCCTACTGGAGGTCGTTTCTGCCAAACTTTTTCCAAGACAAGTGGCAAACAATTGAACAATTATTGCGTAATGACCTGTCCGTCCGAAGAACGAGGCCACCATCTTTTTTCCCACGCTTCGACCTCTCTTCACTTTAGTTGGCAACTCCTCGGAAGGAAACACCCAAACAGCAGACTGTCTCTTAGTTTCAGGATCATAACAATAAATCCAGCGTTCGTCACGTGTAAGTATGTCGAACACAGCATTTGAGTCAGCTCCGTTAAATCTTTGAACCATTTTACGTCTGAGCGAGATTAGAATGGCTCTCCAGCACCTTAAAACGGCCAGTCCCCGGGCGAGGATGGAATTACAGAGGAGCTTCTGAAAGCGGGTGGAAAACCGGTACTTACGGAAGTTTTACAGTTACGGAAGTCCTTCAGAAACTCTTTAGTTCCGTCCTCCATGGTGGTACTACTCCGCAGGCGTGGAGCAGAAATGCTTTAAGTCTTGTTCTTCAAGAACAGCGATGAAGCTCTCTTAAATAACTACAGACCGATTTCCCTTCTGAGCCGCGTCTACGTGCTGTTTTCGAGAGTCATTACGAATCGTCTCGTACGCAGACTCGACGACTTCCAGCCTCCCTAACAAGCCGGTTGCCGAAAAGGCTTTAGTACATATAATATACACCCTTCGGCAAATTGTACAGAAAACAGAAGAGTACAATCTGCCACTTTGCCTTGCGTATGTGGACTATGAGAAAGCCTTTAATTCCGTCTAAATTTGGGCGGTGCGACAGTCCCTTCAGCGGTGCCAAGTTGACTATCGGTATATCGAAGTGCTGAAGTGTTTGTACAGTAGGCCTACGATGGCTATCCGAGTACAGAACCAGAGTACGAAACCTATCCAACTGTAGAAAGGTGTAAGACAGGGTGACGTTATATCTCCGAAACTCTTCACCGCTGCATTGGAAGACGTTTTCAAGCTACTGGACTGGAAAGCATACGGTATTAACATCAATGGCGAGTACATCACTCACCTTCGATTTGCCGACGATATAGTCCTTATGGCAGAATCGCTGGAAGACCTAAGCACTATACTCAAGACCTCAATAGTGTCTCCCAACGGATAGGTCTTAAGATGAACATGGACAAAAGCAAAACAAAGATCATGTTTAATGTCCATGTCACACCTATGCCGGTAGTTGTTGGAAGCACTAAGCTCAAAGTTGTTGACGATTATGTTTACCTTGGATAAATAGTCCGACTAGGTAAGTCCAACTTCGACCGAGAGGTCACTCGAAGGATTCAACTCGGTTGGGCAGCGTTCAGGATATTACGACACATCTTCTCGTCAGGTATACCTCAAAACTCGAAAACGAGATTACAACCAGTGCTTGTTGCCAGTGATGACCTATGGAACTGAGACGTGGTCCTTCACTGCTGGCCGGATGAGGAACCTCAAGGTTGCTCAGTGAGCTATGGAGAGGACTATGCTCGGAGTTTCTCTGCGTGATAAACTTAGAAATGAAGATATCCGCAGTAGAACCAGAGTGACCGACATAGCCAACGGATTAGTAAGGTGAAGTGGCAATGGGCCGGCCATATAGCTCGAAGAACCGACAACCGATGGGGAAAAAAGGTTCTCGAGTGGCGGCCTCGTACCGGCGGACGAAGTGTAGGGCGTCCCCCCACTAGATAGAGTGACGTCCTGGTATGACATGCAGGAAGTCGATGGATGCAGGTGGCTCAGGACCGTGTTTTTTGACATTCCTTGGGAGAAGCCTATGTTTAGCAGTGGATTTGTGAAGGGCTGTAATGATGATGATGATGATTTCACGACACCAATCAACACGACGGAATTTTTGGGCCTCTGTCAAGTTATGAGGTATCCACCGGGAACAAAGCTTCCTGACCGCTAAATGTTCATGGAGAATTTTGTGCCATTTGACTCATCCGATGCCTAAGCTTGTCCGAATCTGCTGATAAGTCACTCTTTTGTCAGTCTCTATCATACGCCGCACAACACTGATGTTATCTTCAGTCGTCGCCGTAGAAGGCCGTCTCTCACGCAGATCATCACTCATCAGTGAGATTAGTGCGACCACATTTAAACCAGTTGTAAACGGTGTCACGAGATGGGGCTTCATCGTGAATGGCCAATCGAAGTCTATCATAACTTTCTTGTCGATTTAAATGAAATCGAAAGTCATAAAAAATCATTGTACGAAAATTTTCTCGCCTTAAATTCATGCTGACGTGACACCGACAATTTTCAATTTGCCGCCAAATCATAAATAAATGACAAATTAATAAAATACATACACAATAATATTGGCTAAGAGTTCCATTTTCAAAATTTCAACTTATTTTTTTATTATGTTGAAAAAAACTACTTTTACGGATTCTATCGCGTTTAATTTACTTATTTGTTATTGATTCCCGACATTTCGGGTACCATGGTCACAGGGGACTGAGGTGATTGATGTCCCGATATCAGAGTTAAGCCGGAGTACCTTCAGCTTTAATTTTGGTCCGATCTACGTAGAATGAACTTAGTGTGTCTTGAAGTATTGCAGTGGTATGCTTAGGTTTAGTTTTAATTTTATTAATTACAGGATCCCAAGCAGGTGATAGTACCCAGCCTCCCTCTCTATTGAAATTAGGATGTTTTTAATTTCAATAGCCTCACGTATCACCCTTGGCAGGAATCGATGTTCTTTCGCGAGAATTTGTGGTTTATCAAATCTAATGTAATGGCGGGGGCGTCTAGGATGTGATCACAAACTGCAGACTTCCCCGAACGTTGGTTGGTCAGCTATGTGTTCTTTTACGCGGGTTTTGATTGGTCGCTTTGTTTGCCCTATATATGAGAGATCACATTCACAATAAAGCTTGTATACTCCTGCATCTTGTAGAGAAATATTGCACTTGACGGATGGTAAGAACTGACTAATCTTCTTCGGCGTCTTGAAGAATGTTCTAATAGAAGCTCGCTTCAAGATGTAGCCAATCTTGTCTGTGAAACCTCTGACATATGGTAGTAGAGCAGGCACACGCTCATCTGTGGCCGACTTCACTCGGTCACTGTGACGTAGGCGCGGGACCCAAAGCTTGTTGTCGTGCAGAACTTGCTTGACGTGCTGAAGTTCAGCGGCCAGGTATTTGCTGTCACAGATCCCTCGTGCTCTCTATAATAAAGATGTGCCCACGATAACTAACTGTAAAGGATGATGGTGCCATTCACCGTCTAAATATCGGTTCGTATGGGTCTTTTTTCTATACACAGTATGGCCTATGGTGTTGTTAGGATTTCGAATGACTAACACATCTAGGAAAGCTAAAGAATTATTTGCCTCTAACTCCATAGTAAATTGAATTTTAGAGTTTATGGAATTAAGATTTTCTAAAAATGCAGTTACTTTGTCTGATGGTAAAATTGTGAAAGTATCGTCTACGTACCGTTTGTAGAACCTTGGAGTTACAGGTGCAGTAAGCAGGGCTTTCTCCTCAAAGTCCTCCATGAAAATATCGGCGAGCACATCGCAACACCATCTACTTGCTTGTAAAACTCTTCCTTCAACAATAGACAGCCCGATGTAAGGCAATGTCTAAGTAATATTGCATATTCTGCTGGCATGTTGTTTTCCTCTAGTTTCCTATTTACAATTGAGATGCAGGTAGGCATGTAAATAGAGACTGAAAGTTTTTTATCTCACTGACAAAATGGTATAAATCATTACTGTGTGTTCTTGTGTGTCCTTTGAGTGATGATAGTATTTTTGCTAAGTGTTGAGCCAATCTGTAAGTTGGCGAATCGATCTGACTCACTATTGGACGTAATGGAGCGTTCGGTTGGTGTATTTTAGGTAACCCATACAACTTCGGTGGTTTGGCACATGCAAGTATTATCGAATTTTACGTCTAGATTCAATTTCTCGGAGTATTTCTTAATTAGATCGCTAGTTGTTTTAAGCGTATTAGTTATAGGGTCTGTTTTGACCTTTACCCTACTTTAATTAATTTACACAAAAAATTCAAAAAAGATACGGGTATCCAAATATCTTACATCACATTTGTCAGACACAAGCTATTCCATATTGTCAGCCCACTC